GAAGGCGTAAGTGTTCTGTGACACTCAGATTCCTAGGCTCTGTCTCTGTCTTAAAATAGGCTTTAAAGCTCGCATTAGTTTGTTTCCAAGGTACCCGTTTTTAGGTTTCATAAGGCCTCTTTTGAGGAAAAAAATTTTTCAAAGTTCTTGTTGAGATCAAGCTTGTGAATTTGTTTTACTGATCATTTTTTAAAACTCTTTTTCCTTGTAACATACAAGAAAAAGAGGAAAAATCCTGTTAATATCAAATCAGGCATAATTATATATATATACCTCCGAAATGAGAGATTTACCTTTTCCATGTCTAACATCTTCTGATTCTAAAAGCAACCCTAATTAGGACTTTTTATATACTATATACATATACATATATATAGTGTGTGAGTGTGTGTGTGTGTGTGTGTACATGCATCTGGAAGCCAGAGGTCAACATCCAGTATTTTACTCTATCCTCTCTACATTATTTTTTTGAGGCAGGGTATCTCACCAAACCCATAGCTCATCAATTGACTAGACTGGCTGGCCAGCGAGATCCAGAGATCCACTTCTCTCTGCTCCCTCCCCAACTAGGGTTATAGACACAACCACCTTTCCCAGCTTTTTAGGTGAGTGCTAGGGATCTGAACTCAGGTCCTCATGCTTAACACAACAGGCACTTTACTCAGTGAGCCACCTCTCTACCCCTCAAATTGGACTATTTAACAGTATACTCATCAACTAGCAGGCATGATTTTAAGTGCAGTATAATGCAGTCATTCTAACCACCCAGTCATCCATGTCCCCCATGATACCAGTGGGGGACTCCCTAACTTACAGCTTGTGAGTTTGAGAGTCAGGTTCAATTCCAAGGAATCTGACTCCAGATTCATAAGCCTATCCATCATGATCTCAGGCTTCTTGTTGAGAAATTGGATAAAGGAATTTGTGGGAAACATTTACCCATGTCTAGAGGGAAAGGAAGGAAGATAGCCTCTGAATGGAAAGCTCTGAGTCCTGGTGGCTGAGCAGCCTTACTGATGCCCATCTTGCACTCTCCTCCATAGGTCCAGTCCCAGCTCCAGGGACTTGGTGCACCTGCTCTGGCCTGGTCCACCACTCTCCCTTGTGGCATTCTTGAATTCCTCTATCCTATTCCACCTACTTTTCATAGTACCTGTTTATTTGTATTGTTACTGTCACCATCTCCTAGATTATAAACTAGAAGGAGGCAGGGATTGGGGAAGTTTTGTCTCTTTTCTTCACAGATATCTCCCAAGTACCTACAACCATGCCAGACACATGTTAGTTCCTAAGTAGATATCAGCTGAGAGGAAAAAGTCAGAGAATGTCACTTGCAGACTCTATGCTTCCTCTGAAATGAGAGATTTACCTTTTCCATGTCTAACATCTTCTGATTCTAAAAGCAACCCTAATTAGGACTTTTACAAGAACACCACTGAAAGGATTAATGAAACCAAAACCCAGAGGTCCCAGTCAGCTTTCCTATAAAGTGGGACTATGGTCAGCAATCAAGTTCATGAGACTCAGACATATAAAAGCTGGGTAAGCACCATTGCACTCCATAGGGATGGTGACCTTTGCAAACAGTCACTGCAAGTATAGATGATCTGTGGCTTGAGACAAGTGTCTGCCTGTCCTCAGGCCAATAGGAGACCAGCAAACCAAGGCAGAGAGCCAGCTTCCTCTCATAGAGAACACAGTCATGGAACCTCTCATGAGCATTCACTCAACAGCCCCACCCCAGATCCTCTCAGATCCCCTCTCTGCTTGCTGTACGAGCCCCAGTATTATCTTCCCTCCAGACAGTGGGATTCCTTTGGACAAGCCTCCATAGGGATTTTGCTTTCATGACTCCTGGGCTTCGAGCCACCAATCTCAAACATTTATTAAGGTCCATGGACATGTGCTTTTCCATTTGTATTGGCCTGAGATCTAGAAATGGAAATCTGCCATCTCCCCCCTTCCTTTGCGGCCATGCATTCTGCTGGTATCTGCTAAGACCCTGTCATCTGTTAGTGGCTGGACCAGGACCAGGGCTCAGAATCAGAAGCAAATGTGAACCATTCACACCTGCTTCAAGGGAGTCTGCAGTTCAGGGATTCTAGGAGACCTGCTTTCTCCAGAGCAAGAACGCAAGGACCAAGAGCTGACGAGTGGGAAGGCTGGAAAAGATCTGCCAGGGATTTGGGAGAACTTCCTGAAGGAGTGATATTGATCAGCAGTTCAAGGCTGGGAAAGTCAGCAGGAACTGGAGAACCCACATGGAAACATGCAAAACAAAGTCAGGATAAGAAACAGCAACTGAGCCTGGTATGGAGGGATGAAGGGCAGGTTTGAAGAGACCGTGGTTGACAGAATTGGCAAGCAATGGTGAGGTAGCTATGGTGTCAGGGTGAAGGGTCTGGACTTCATCCTGTAAGTGCTAGGGCACAATGAGAATTCTTTAGGCTATTGTGTATTTAGGAGAATCAATTTGGAAGCAGGGGGACTGGGGATGAAGCTCCGTTAGTAGAATGCTTACCTATCACGCACAAAGTCCTGGGTGCTATCCCTAGCACAGAGTAAAACTGGGCATGCTGGCTCTGTAATCCCAGTACTCGGAAGGTGGAGACAGGGGAATCAGGAGTACAAGGTCATCCTCAACTACATAGCTGGTTGGAGGTCAGCCTGGGGTATAAGAAATCAGAGCACTGGGCTGGCCATGTGAACTCAATACCAGTCCTAAGTATGAAATGAAATGATTCAGAGATGATTGTTATACCCTGTGTAAGCTTTGATTTATTTATCTTACCCAATGAAGTTTCTTATTTTATATTATTTATTATTTTTATTTCATGTGTATGTGTATATTGCCTGCATGTAGGTAAGGGCACCCATGTCATGCAATGCCTGTGGAAGACAGAAGCTGTTGGATCCCCCTGGAACTGGAGTTATGGACAGTAGTTAGCTGTCATGTGGGTGCTGGGATTCAAACCCTGGTCTTCTGCAAGAACAGTCAGTGTTCTTAACCACTGAGCCATCCTTCCAGCCCTGCAATGAAGTTTCTTAGTTTCAGCACTACAGAGAATTCTTGAGTTATTCAGACAACTGTTTCAATTCCTGTCACTACAATTACTGTACAGATAATTGTAGAGCTAAATCAGCAACACTTTCTCTCAATTGGGTCAGGAAAGGCAAATATGTGCTTTAACTTGAGCTTTTGTGTTTTTAGTGCATGTTTATGACCCACCTAGACTTCTTGTTGCTGTGTGACTTAAAGAACATAAAGAAGAGATCATAAACATTTAGAAGCAGGAATGGGCACCACGGCCTTAAGAAAGCGTGAAATTTACCTTTGAGCTTCCCGGCAGTCAAAGCAAAACTGGGAGGTGGAAGAAAATTCAGTTTAATAGCCTCTGTGCTCTCTCTCTCCCACCCCCCCAGCTCACCTGTCATCCTGTCATGCTCAGACCCTCTTTGGGGGACACAAAGCAATTCAGCTGATTGAGCTAAGCTTCAAAGGTATTAATTTGAGTCCTCTTAACATTCCTTTGGCTTAGGATACACAAATGGGGTACTGAGGTTATGACTTGATGCTTTAAAGAAGTACTTTTGAATAGCTCAAAAAGAACCTTCAAAAGGGGTTCTTTATTTTCTAGTCTGGATATGGGAACCAGACAGGGATGTAAAGGGCTTGTGGCCCAATTTTCAAATTTGTCAGACCATCAGAAAGATGGGCAGCAACAACCCCTAAAGCAAAGTGTGTAGCTGTCACCCAGGATAAGGACCTCAAGGTCTAACCTCCCCACCTGCTTGGTCAGCACACATTGGGACTTAGACTGTCTGAGATTGCCATTTAAACAAAGCAGTCTGGTCCCTAAGGCTCCATTTTTTTTTTCCACTAAAATAAAACTTTGTTAAAAGCCTGAAATGAACAAAGCCCTCCCACCCAAGAGAAGTAGGGATCTCTCAGGAACTTCTGACTTGAGCTGTCCCCAGCACCTGCAATCAAAATATCACTCTGCAACACTAGTTGAGGGTAGACTCCTGTCTTCAGCCTTCATGGGGCTCCCATAACCATCGGGTCGTTTGGTGAATCAAGACTGTGAGGTCATGGAAGGGAAGGGACAACCCCACCCATGTTTTAATTTCATTTCATTTGCTTAGCCCAGAATCTTGTACTGGTCCTAGGATTAAAAAAAAACTCAATGTAGATTAGGCTGGCTGGCTTCAAACTTCTGACTGTAGTTCTGCCTGCCTCTCCTGACACCCAGCTACTTCTAGGAATCCTTAAGAATTCCCCTCAACTGAGCATGGTGATACAAACCTTTAATCCCAGCCCTCAGGAGGCAGAGGCAGGTAGAGCTCTGTAAGATCAAAGCCATTTCTGGTCTATAGAGAAAACTATTTTCTACACCAAAACTTGGAATTGTCTACCAATGGGCAAAACATTAATGCCAAACACAGACAAATCAAGTAACTTACCTATTTTACTGCTTTTTCTAAACTTTGAAAACTTAACATTGTGGCACACATGTAATTCTAGCACTTGAAAGAAGAATCAGAAGTTCAAGGTCCTCAGCTACATAATAATTTTCAGGCCAGACAGGACTCAAAAAGAGGGACTAGAGATGGCTCAGCATGAGCACTCACTACTTGAAGAACCAAGTTAGCACCAGCATTTGGCATCACAACCACCTATAACTCCAGCTCCAGGGGATGACAATGTGGGCATCCTCACACATATGTACACACTAAACAACAAAAACAAAGTGCTTTGACAGCAATTGAATGCCACTGTTAAAAAAGAACCACTTGTACTCTGTGTAATCTTGGAGGGCATTGGTTTCCAAACCCAGCCCCCTCTACCAAGTAGGGGCAACATCCTCCCCCCCAACCAGGATTCCACAAATGTCAAAAGGCTGCCTCTGTAAGGGATTCTCTCTGTAACAGACTATTATTTATGGTTGCTGTTCAAAGGGGCAGAGTTTGAATTAGCACTACCAAGCAAAACATTGACCTGCATCATTTAATTGCTATTTATTTTCATAAACATGAGGTATTTCAAAGTGCTATAAGATGCAGCACTAAATATATACATTTTGAAGAAATTAAACACAGAACTTTGCCATTTTACCCAGTTCTATGCACCAAACATGAACAAATACATTAACAGGAAGAAACAGGCTAGGAAAAAGGAATATATATATAGTAAAATTTCTTTACAAAAGTTTCTTAGTTCAAAAAGTGATAAAGTAATATCTACTCAAAACTTTCACAACTCATTTTCATACGAAAATATAAGTATCAAATTTAGTTATGTATCAGCATCATACTAAAGTATACAGGCAGTGTAAGAATTAGTTCAGTACATAACAGAGATTAACAATATATTTGTATACAAAACATGCTCCTCAAACATTGAGGTATTCTTACAGTACTTAGATGTGAACTTCCAGTCTAATACTGGCCACAAGAGCCACCTCTCTTTACCCAGGACGTATACAAAAGGCGGATGTGGTAATGGTATTTACAGAAGTGTTCCCAGGGGCATCAAACAGCAAACCCCTCTGTGACATCTGCTGGAACTTAAGCACCATTGTAAAAAGAAGGAATGACTGTTTGCTTGGAAACTTGGACCGGAACAAGGTGACTTCGACAGCCTCCCAACTGTCCATGGCTGTCACCAGGTAAGGTGGAGGAAGAAACAAGCCACCTTAGCATCCCATAACCCAGTCTTGTCCAAAATCCCGGCAGAACCCCACGTCCTGCCCCTCCCTAGATCCAAACAGGGGACCGATTTGAAAGTAAACCAACATTCTTAATGTCAACACAATGTTTGTTCGCTTAAAAAAAAAAAAAAATCAAAATGTGCAAAGTGGCAGCGACTGTCCGTTTGAGAAATGTTTAGCAAGTCCGAGCGTGTTCGATCTTCTTTAGCAACTGCTGCTGTCTTGCCTGCAATTTCTCCTTTTCCAGGAGGAGCTGGTGCTCGTTGGCCTGCAGGGCGTGGACGTACTCGGTGGCCTTTTTTAAGATGACCACCTTGGCGGCCTTCTCGTTCTTCACCAGCTCGGGCACATGGTCCCTGAGCGTCAGGAAGCTGGAGCGCAGGTCATTGCGGCGCTGGCGCTCCAGGATATTGTGGTTGCGGCGTCGCTCGCTGTCCTCCGAGTCTGAATTTCGGGGACTCAAGCTCTTGGCCTTTGCGGGGACCACGTTCTTGAGGGGTCGTGGAGAAGTCTCGCTCTTGATCTTCTTCTGCGGGGGCGCATCCTCGCTTTCCACGTAGGGAGAGGGCGCAGCATAGTTGTGTTGCTGGTGGATAGGGACGCAACGCTTAAGGATCAGCTCTCCAGACTGTGCACGCCCCAGGCCCAGCGCCGCAGTCTTGGGGCGCACGGTGATGGTGAATGTGGTGACAGCCTTATTGTTAGAGGAGGACCGCCGCTTTTCCACGGTGACAACGTCTATTTCCTCTTCTTCGTCTTCCTCTTCGTCATCCTCATCATCTTTGAAGGGGGAAAAAAATAAGACTTTCAGGTACATTTTGAATGAAATTAACATGTCTGGACCAAGCCTGGTAGGGCTTGCTACAATCACAGCTTGATTAGCATGTGGGAAAGGTTTACTTTGGGTGCCTACATTTCATAAACACACACACACACACAAAACCACACAGGGATAGAAATAGTTTCTTCCTATTTTCAGTTTTCATGGAAGAATTTAGTGAGCTGGAATGGTGCAGCTCAGTGGCAGAGCCACTTGCCTATTATGTGGAAGGACCAGAGTTGGATTTCCTAGTGTCAAAAACTTTGAGCAGGTGGCAAAACTTGAAGAACCCAAGCCTGAGATCAGAGAATCACTTGTGGGAGGATTGTGGAGAAGGTTAATCTTCCTCATCCTCAGTTATATTCAATGGGAATGGAGCCATAGCATTCGAGTTTGGCAGACAATATGTAGACTTGGTGACAGATGCTCAGTAATAGGAGTTTTTAGCATAATCACCAGCCAGTCTGCCCCATGGATTTATTTATACACATTTCCACAGCCACCTTTCAGACTAGAGGCTCCTCATTTGGTGAAACACATGGCTGGGTTTGATTTTCCACCCTTTTATTCGAGGAACAATTTCATTCACTAAGGAAGAAAAATAACTTTCTCTCATGAACATGAGTTCTTAAAAATTTTTTTTAATTTAGGCAAAGATCAGGCCTCAACTATAATGCTCTAATCCACAGCTGACACACCCCTATACCCCCATGGGAGCAGTGCCCAAGCCACCCTAAGAGTAGGAACAGTGTATCATCATGTGTACTTTGACCCCCCTCCTCCTCATTTACTACCATGCTAGGATAGAAAATTATTGTTTAAAAATGCAAGCATGAAAATCAAAACACATCTTTTGCTTGATCTGATGGGGACCGGAAAGCCGAACAATTGTGGGATTTGTTCTAAGGCTGAAATGTGAGGCTGTTCCAGTCTGTGGGTCCCTTTAAGCCAGTGTTTTGGTTTTCTGCCAAGAAGACAGCTGTTGGAAGGAAGTGCTTCCTCACCGAAAGCTGTCAAGGCAGACATTAAAGGGACAGAGCCCTTTCAAAGTGTAGGCTTATCACCAAGTTTCCTTCCAGGAGCCTCAGAAAGATCCCTCCTCAGCCCTGAAGGAAAATTTAGGATTTTTATTCTTCAGCATTGTGAAAACATTGACTTTCAAAGTCTAATAGGAGGGTTAGCCCCCAGCTCTGGGGACAAGGGTAGAGTGGGCAGTACCTCCAGAGCTCCAGGCAAAATGCTAGATTTAAAAAAACAAAACAAAAAAAACCCTTCCCTTCCGTGGAAGACCCAGACAAATGCACACAATAGAATCAATGAATCCTTGTAGGGCTGTGCGCATTCTTAGGAGGGGCAGTGGAAGGCCCCACCCTCACCTTCAAGGGCACCGGGTTACAGAATACAACTCAGCTCAATTAGGTCTGGAATTCCAGCTAGAAAACAAAACTGCACCAGCGTTCACGCAAAACCGGAAAGGGGAGGCTCCCTGAAAACGTACACCACCCCTATTGCACTTGCTGCCAGCTGCTGAACAAGAGGGAGGGGTGCACACACCACCTCCAGTCTCTCGGATCCTTGACCTGACTGTTGGCCAGGCACAACGCCGCCTGCTGGCCACGCATCAAGAGCAAATAACCCACCACCCACGGAGGGGCGGGGGCCCAAGGTCCTTTGAGAAAAAAGGAGTGGGGAGCTGGTCACTCTAACTTCTTGTAGCCCAAGTAAGATTGTGCATAGCCCTTGTCTTTTGGGGGATCTTTCCTCTTCCCTGACCTAACCTAGAGCTTAAAGGGGCCCAGGGCTCTTTTCCATTCTGGCACTAACAGTTTCTATCCAGGCAGCCTTCTGACCCAACACCGGGATTGAGCTGACCACCAGTTTTTCCCACGGTGATGACCAAGCCAACTTAAGGGAAAGTGGCGTTGGAGTTTCCAGCCTCCCGGCTCCACTCTGGGAAAGACTAGGGAAGGATAAGACCACCGGCAAGGCACTGCTGCTCCCGACAGTCAAAACACTAACCCACGCTAACAAAGGGACCGCGACCCCCAACTCCAGGACACTAAGGAGGCAGCGGGACCCGGCCCCAGGCATTACCTGAGTCGCTCAGGGTGTCCTCTCCGGAGGTGCTGAGAGCCTTGTGGTCACCACCGCTGGACGGACGGCCGCCTGCGCGCGGAGGAGCGGCCGCCGGGACAGCAGCCGGGGCGGCGACACTGGTAACCACGACGCTGGCCGCAGGGACATTGGTGGGGGCCGTGGGCACCGGCGCGGGCTCGCGCTTGTTCACCGGGAAAGGGAAGACCACTGCGGGGTCCACGCATTCGGCGGCCGGGTGGGGGAGCTCGGTGGGCAAGGCGGCCACTGCACGGCCAACACCCGCGGCCCCACCGTGCACACGGCCCCCAGGGCCGGTGCTACCCGCTCCCTGGGCCGGGGCGGTGGGGCTGGCAGTCGGAGGCCCGCGGCCGTGCTGCAGCTTCTCGCTCACCGCACGCTCCAGCTTCTCACGGGCGGAGAAGCCGCTCCACATACAGTCCTGGAGGATGACCGGGTTGGGGGTGAGACCACCCAGTCCCCCCAGGCCGAACGCATCCTCCTCGGCCGGGTTGCCCCACAGGTCGGCTTCGGGCAGCAGCATCTCCGTAGCCCAGTTCGAGGGCTCGGGGCTGTGCTCCGGGAAGGCGCGGCTGGGCGACAACGGAGGCGTGGGCAGCAGCTCAAACTTCTTCCAGATGTCCTCCCCCGGGGGAGTCGAGTCCGGACCGCCGAAGTAGAAGTCGTCTTCGTCCGGATAGAAGCAGGGCTGCAGAGAGTCGAACTCGAGGTCTGGGTTCTTGCAGATCATCCCGGGCATGGTGGACGCTGTGCAGCTGGGCATTGGTTCGCCTCCCGGCCGGCGATAAAACACTTTTTTCCTCTCAGCTCTTTTTAATATGGGGGAGTGCTTCTTTCCCGTGGGGGGCGCAGAGTCGTGCCAACCTCCAACCCTGCAACCGACAGGCACACCAGAAGCAAATGAACCGAAGAAGCGGACTAGGGGGGACAGGCAGCGGGCGCCCCCAATTCTCCCCAGGCACTCGAAGGTGGAGGAAGTTCAGTCTCCGGCTCTCTCCCTCCCTCCTTTTGTGTACAAGCTGTCTACGACAGGGGGTGGGAGGGGGCATGCAGATGCTGGGGGTGGTGTGGCTCTGCAACTTTGGAAACTGCCATTTCATTCACACAAGGCACTGCCTGGGGGAGGGGGCTGTTCAGGCTGCAGAATCCTAGCCTTTACTAACACGACAGCCCCCCTCTTACACCAGTGTAGGGCCAGCTGCTCAAAGGAGGTCTCCGCTCTCCAGTCCAGCTACCGGGTATGAGATTGGAGTACCTTTCCTTCCCCTTTTGCAAAAATGCAACCTCGGAAGCGCAAACGGTAACCGGGTTTAGGAAACTTTATAAATATTAAGAACCTTTCTCTAGACAGGCCAACAACAGGCACCTATCAAGAACCCCCGCCCCGCGCCCCAATTTCAGCAGATACCCTCCGACACTCAGCGTCTGCCAACAGCTTATTTTGACCCTCTCCAATTTCCTCCCTTCGAACCCCACAAGCTCTTCCAAGGAGAGGCTAAGCCCCATTCCTGGGAATGGTGCTGGGGCGCCGGCGCGACTAGGGTCGTAGGAAAAATCGGGTCCCCTAAGCTGGAGCAGCCGTGACCTAGATTGCCACCCAGCCCCGCCTAACCCCTTTTCCTTCTTCCCGGGGCACCCTTTGGAGAAGAGCCTCAGCTTGGGGTGGGGACGCACCGGCTCCCCGTCAGCTCACACACAGATAAATCTTGTACAGCAAAGCCAAATTTCTTTCCATTTAAGCCATTTCTCGGCCCCGGCAAGGGCTGTAAAAAGGATTAGGGCGGGTCTCTTCCAGCTGGGGTGCCTTGGGGCGGAACTGGATTTTCAGGGAAAACCCCCGGATGGTTTTGTTTAGGAAGCAGGCGCAGTCCCCCCGGCACATTCGGGCTCCCGGTGCGCTAGCAGCTATCGATCTGGGGGCTTGCCCTGCCGCGGCGCTCCGCCGCTCCCCCAGCGCTTTGCAAGTCCCGCTTCTTACCTCCCTCGGACCGCCGGGGATCCGGAGGCCACTGGACGCTGGGGTCTCCGCGTGGGCTGTGGGGGCGGCTGGGAGGGGTCCTCGGGCGGCTGCAGTGTGTGCGCGCTTACGACTGGCTAGCGCTCGCTCGGCTCCAACCCAGTTCCCAGGAGCCCCCCGCATCCACCCAGCGCGTCCAGACAGATGACTGTCAGTGGCTGCGCTTTGAAGCTCGGGGGATATTATTAACTGAAAAAATCTGACACACCCGGGGGGCGGGGAGAGAAGGGGGCTGTGGCGCAGACAAGGGGGAGGGAGAAAGGCAGAGGCAAGCCGCTTTACCCCGCCCTCCTGATTTCCATAAAAATCAGGGGAGGCGCCAAGGCTTTCGCGCCAAAAGCCATTTGCTTTTCTTTTTTGCAGACTGCAGGCTGCAAAGCTGGGAAACCCGCGGTGTCTTGCTCCCGCCCTTTCGGACCCCAGGACTTGCACCCACTGCGCTCTCGTGAACCGGCTGCGCGCCGAGCGGTGCAGCGCAGCACCCACAGGGTGTGCCTGACCGAGGCTCTGCATCCCCCCCCAACCCCCCGCTCCCCGCCCCAGTGCTCTTGGGTGTGTGTTGGGAGGGGGAACAGGTTTCTAGCCCAGTCCCCGCCCCGACTGCATTTTGTGTGTGTGTGTGCAAGCTGAGCTCGAGGCCAAAGTGGAGCAAGGCTTTACAGAGGGTTGTTCGTGGGTGATCTCGAAAGCAGGCGACCGGAGTGCAAAATGGGAGGCGGGAGACGCGCCCATGTAAGAACGAGACCGCAGGAGGTTTCTCCTTTCAAATTGAAAGGAAAGGGGCGCCCCCCTTGTTTGAAAATAAATAAGTGCGGGCTACGAGGGTGGCGCCGCGGTGCTTTCTCCGGCCGAAGGCGACACCTTGCGGAGACCGTGCAGAACGCGGAGCCGCAGCGCCTGGACTCGGAGCCCGAAAGGGGCCACCCCAGCACTCCCGCCACCCCGCAGGACTGTTCGCTGTTACATCCAAGGGCTTCCGAAACGCTTGGTCGCGCTTCCTCTGGAACCGTCCCCATGGCTCCCAAGCGGTCTTTCCAAAACCAGGATTGGTCGAAATTGCGGGCAGTTGGACGGGTTCGAAAAGAAGGAACTGCAGTCCACATCGCCCAATCTGCGGCTCAAAAATCTTGCGTCCAAATTGATGGTGGCATCAAGAAAAGCCATCGCCTTCGTCTCTTTGTGTCCCAGTGGCCTCACTTACGGGGTGGCGCTAATAGAATACAGTGTCCTCTATTTTCACCAGAGCAGGATATATATAATGTTTCTTTACACCCATCGTGGGGTTGCCTCCCTCTCTCTCATCCCACCAACAACAAATCTTCGCTTATTTCTAGGGAAATATTCTCGGCGGCGTGCTTGTTTGCAGTGACGGGGTTAAAAATGATTGCTCCTGCCCCCACAACTTTCTAGGAATGACCCTGGTATCCTGAGAAGGCATTTTCACCACCACATACACAGTGAATTGGAATTTACCCTCAAAAAACCATTTCCCTAGGCTTGTTTGGAGGGAAGCTTCCCCCATCTCCCCCATTTCCTTCTAGACTGGAAGTGCCACCGGCTCACTCACCTCAGCCAGAGAATGCTTAGGAAGTCAAGGCAGACCCATAAATTCTCTGTATTAGCATTTGTGAAGGCTCTTCCAGCTGGCCCTGGATGCCTACATAATTCTGAGGACCAAGGCAGATTCCTAGGGTTCTAGGAAGTAACCCATGAATAAAGGTGAACCGCCCTTCCAGGATCCTTATTATTTCCCTCACATATGTAAAACCCATCACCTTTGCAAAAGCCTTTAACACCCTCATTTCCACACTGGCTAGCTGGGCCTTCCAAACGGAGCCCTCCCCGCTGCATTCCTGGCTGCCAGCAGGCTTTTGGAAAACTTTTGCCTCCATTTGTAATTATACATGCACAGCAGGGAACAGGTATGGCAAATGCTCCATGGTGCTGTCTAAAGGGATGTCCCTGAAAGAGACCCTCTAATGAAGCTACATCTGCCTGCTGGAGGTGATAGGAGTGACCCCGAATCTTTTTTTTGCTGGTTTTTTATTGTTTTTGAGACAGGATCTCATATAGCCCATACAGGTCTTGAAATCAATATATGGCAGAGGATGAACTTGAACTGATCCTCTTGCCACTACCACCCAAGTACTGGACTACAGATGTGTGTCACCATACAGGCTTCTAGAACCTTCTTCAGACCTTGAGCAGTAGCCACAGAGAGAGCACACAGACCTACCTGCCTGCTCCATCTTCCTCACACAGCAAGACTATGAAAATAGGTCAAGGTGGCCCAGTTGGTGTGGATAAACGTCCTTTCTCACCACACCTGGTCCCTTCAGTCTTTGTTGAAAGATAAGACACAGCAGAAAAGGGGACAAGGAGACAGGTGACCTGGTTGCTCTACATGCCTCTGAGCAAACAATTTATCGTTCCTGAACCTCAATCTCTGATCTCCTGTGCTTATTGCAAACCAGCAATTACTGAAATTACTGGCAAGTCTGAATCTGAAGGTTAGCAATGATAAAAGTCAGCAAATATTTATTGGTTCCTTCATTGCAAGTAGAAAGGAAAAAGACTATATTGTACACAGAGAAACATCATCTACTGCCCATTCTTGGTGGACTTGGAAAGAAGTCTAATGATTCCTTGTACATTTAAATGTTGAAGAACTTTCAGGCCCCATGGGACACACATGACTTTGGACATTTTCAAAGCCAAGGCTTTGTTCACATCTTGAGACCCTACATGGATCAGGATGACAGCTTTGTAAAGCTCTCCTATACCAAGGAGGGAGACACACTCCTAAGAAGGATGCCTTGATTTAATGACCAGTTGATATAGAACTAGAGACAGGATCTTGTTCATAGATAAGTAGATGGGAGAGTTTTAGTCTATTTTTTTTCTTTACTAAAGAAAACAACAAACAAAAAGAGCAGCAATACAGGTACAGACATTCAGAGGGACCTAATATATGACTGACTAGGAGACCACCAATTTCATCCAGCCTCAAGGACCACAGTTTCTCCTAGGCATTTCATACTAGGTCCTTACTGTTCCTGCCCAAATAGAGGCACAGTCTTGTATGGTGGTACATGGTTAGCATCCCAGCGTTTCTTTTTTCAAATATTTTATTTATTATTTTTATTTTATGTGTATGAGTGTATTGCTTGCATGTGTGTAAGTGCACCCATGTCATGCAATGCCCATGGAGGTCAGAAGAGGGTGTTGGATCCCCTGGAACTGGAATTACAGATGGTTGTTAGCTGCCATGTGGGTGCAGAGATTTGAACCTGGGTCCTCTGCAAGAGTGGTCAGTGCTCTTAACCACTGAGCCATCGCTCCAGCCAAGACAAGAAGAAGACTGAGTTCAAAGCCAGCCTGAACTATAAAGCAAGACCTTGTTTCAAGAAAACAAAACAAGTCCAGAGTCAGATGTGGTAGTCCATGCCTTAAATCCCAGGAGAGGTAGGGGGATCTCTGTGAGACTGAGGCCAACCTGGTCTATATAGCAAATCCCAGGCCAGCTGAGGCTTCAGGGAGACACTGTCTCAAAAAATTTAAAAACCCTGTAAATTTTGCTTATTAAATATTTTTGAATCCCTGGAATTAGGCCTATAAAATGGCATGGAGTAAGGGCACTTGATACCAAGTCAGATAATCTGAGTTCAAACCCCAGGACCCACATGGTAGAAGGAGAGAATTTACTCCTGTAAGTTTTTCTCTGACCTCCACATGTACATTGTGGCATTTGTGTACACACACACACACACACACACACACACACACACTCATGCACACACACACACATGCACACACACACTAAAAGAAAAAAAAAATCCCTAGAATCAATTGACTCATTTCAAAAGAAGAAGAAAAGGGGGATAGAAGATGAGGAGAAGGAAAAAGGAAAGAGGGAGGGAAAAGGGGAAGGAGGGAGGGAGGAAGATAAGAAACTGGCTTTCTGCATTACTCATACAAAAAAAAATGTAAACACTAAAAATCGGCTAGATTTAAGATTTAATTGGAGAAAGTAAAACTATCAAAGAACAGGAAAAAAACAATTATATATCAATGTGTGGGAGTCTCAGAAGGGTCAGCTAACAGAAGCTCATATAGCACCCTGAGCCACTGGAAACCTGGAGGTTTTGGGGAGGTCTAGGGAGAGAGGAGACCTGGCAGGTAAGGTTTGTCTTCTCAGGCAGATAAAGTCTCTCAGGTAATAAATGCTGTCTGGAAGCAGCCCACAGAAGAGGTGAGAGTCTGCCTGGGCAGGGTGTCACAGAGTCAATCTTGGAGGGGTGGAAAGATGTATGGGGGTGTAGATTCAGGACAGCTGAGTCCCTTTGGGCATGACTTCATGTAGATAAGAGGTACCCAGAGCAAGCTCTGCCTGCACTTGCAGTTTATTGCCCAATTGCCTTTGAAGTCATTAGCACACGAAAAGGTTGTAGTTGGGGTGGCATTTCCAGAGTTCCCTGAGAGGCAGATTATACTCCATGTATATGAAGGGCTCCTGTAAAATTGAATAGGGGAAAAAAGTCAGAGAGAAATCTGGTTCCAGGATATGAACAGATAATTTGTCAAATAAGAAATGCAAATTGTGCACAAACATGAAAAGATGCTCAGCTTCTCCAGTATTCGGGGCAATGCAAATTAAATCTCAAGGAGATGAACAATCTGGGTCCAGCAGTTTAGCCCAAAGTGCTGGTAAAATTGGCGAGTGGGGGATAGGGACCCTCTCATATATACACTTGATGCTTCAGTCCCGAGAGCAGAGCAAATCCCCTCTAGAAGCCATCTAATAAGAGACAATATGGGACTAGAGAGATGGCTCAGTGATTAAGAGCACTGGCTACCCTTGCAGATGACCCAGGTTCAATTCCCAGCACCCACATGGCAGCTAACAACCATCCATAACTCTAGTTCCAGGGGAATCCAACACCCTCTTCTGACCTCTGAGGTCATTGTACAACATGGGTGCACTAATACACATGCAGGCAATAGACTCATACACAAAAAAATTTTAAAAAAATAATGAAATATTTTTAAAATATCTTCAAAACAAAGATTGACACTAGCAGACACATTATAAGACATCTAAATACCTATTAACAAGCTGGGTGTGTTGGTATACTAGAGAAGCTAAGGCAAAAG